CCTCCCCCCTGGATCCGCCCTTGTCCCGAGCCTGTTAAGGGCAAACGCCACCAAAAAACCCCGGTAGTTCCTGCCGGTAGTCGCCTCAGCTTTCAATTAGGGTTCCGTTAGTGCCTGTAATGGATTGGCATGCGCCCAACCTCTCTGGAGAACCATCTCGATGGTACCGAGGCTCGAAACAGTAGCGGGTGCGATTTTCTATCGAATGCGGAAATGTGCACGTCCATATGGGGCTGGGCCTGTTGGAGTTCGAGCGAAAATTGCCGAGTGCGCTACTGGTTTCGAGGCCAGAGGCGGCCTCTCGCCCCGAGCGCTTCGGAATGCCGTCAGGCAAGTGCACGGCCGAGGTGCGGCAGCTTCTCGTTTGGTTCCAACGTCGATTTGATAGAAACTTTCTCGCCCATTTGTTTTTAAACGAGCGCTCAACAATCGTTCCTATGGATTGCTTCGCCAAAATCTTCTTTGCAGAGGCATGTCAAGGTTGCTTGGTCTTCTTCATAGGAAGAGGGGTCCACGTCGTCCCATTCAATCGGATAGTTAGGAATCAATTTGCGATCCAGCCGGTTAATCGGACAGCAAAATTGGCGGTTAGTTAAAGTATTTGCACAATTACCGGGAAACGTGTTATTAGACAGTTATGGCATGTCACGATCCGATAAGTTGCCATATTAATGCCGGCTCAATTTGTATATAACGTTTATTATTAGTCGTTTTGGTTTTAATTGTCTAGGTACTACCAGGGCTGGCCGATATGTGTCATCTGGCTGTCGGTGTCACTGGGAACAGGTCGCCGGTACTCTGTCAATTTCTTCTTCTTTCAAATTCTTTCAATTAAACAACGACCACTATTCGACGCCCATTCAAAAAATGTTATTAATTGCCGTTGTGGTGTTTGCTCAGAATGACAACATCGGTTTCGGAACTAATAAAACCGAGATGAACTCATCGATTACCGCGAGACTGGTTCTCTGAAGTGGGACACCTGTCTCGCGCTTTTCAACCAGGAGATTCCGGATGTGTTTCGGCCATTGATTGACCAAAGGTCAACTGTTTGTTCATCAACGAACTCGAATTCCCATAGCACAA